CTTCACAAGGCGCTGGGTTCTTGCAGGTGTGGATGTGGTCTGGATGTTGTCCTGTGTCCTGTGGTCTCTATTTTAGGAAGATTTTTCTTTGTTATATTTTCATAGCTCTATGTGTTTTTGGGAGGAGATTTCCACTGCTCTACTCACGCCGCCATCCTGGCTCCGCCCCCCCTGTCTAATGTATTTTTTATGGCAATCCGTATGTTTTTTAATGGAAAACTAAGACACATATGTACTGAATGAAGCAATGAATGGCCATTGATTTGACAATGGTCTGGGCTCCAAATGTATGATAACTTTGGAATCAAAGGATGATTGGGATGAAGGTAATAGTTCCTATCTGAAGTTCTAAATTCGCTTCACATTGGCCACTTAGCAAGCTCCTCTGGTTCAGTTCCATGCTTTCCATGCTGCCAGGCCATCTCACATACACCCCATGTGACCAGACAGATGATCCCTTCTTCAAAAAACCCTGTGTCTATAGTTTGTTAGATGATTGTCTTATGAAGAAGGCATCCTCCTGTCAACATCTTAGAATCTGGACCAAATTAGCAAATATTTCTTAGAAATGTTTCTCAACCTGCCACATGTATAAGGCAGTGGCTGAACTTTTCCTTCTTTTTTAATTTTTTTTTCGGAGATCTCTATATTGCATCTACTGCAAATATAGAGAGCTTTATATATAGGATTTTTTTAAGTCAGAATAACATCTTTTGGGTATATTTTTAAACCAAGAACTGCACATGTATAGATAATTTAGATTTAAGAACATAGTTATGCTAGTTTAACATAATAACAACACATTATTAAACATATTTAGGAAGATAAATGATTGTGTCCTTCCTTGTCCTTGATATCTAACATGAAAGCATTTATAATAAGTATGATAAAGCAAGTTTAAACTTTTCTTCTAGTTTTTATTCTTTTTCTTCCTCACAAAAATTCAAAGTAAAAAAACAAAACAAAACACAAATATCCAAAAAAAACAAATACTTATGAGTCTCATCACTTAATACTCCTAAGACTCACCACCTAATTTGGGGAAGTGCTGCTTCATAGACATTTCTAGCAATGTGAGTTTGAGGAAAAGAGAAAGTGAGAAGATCACTTTTTGTATCTAATCTTGCACTGTGATTAAACACTGCTTAGAGCTATGCCTTCACCTATAAATTCTCTCCTTAAATGCAGAAATCTGTTGTAGGACATTTCCTTGAGTTCTCATTCCCTAATGATACCAGTTATACTTCCTGGAGAGAACATTATTAAATATTCCCCAGTATTAAGGGTAATTAATACCCCCCACTCTCTTGTCCCCAGCTTGGCCTGAATGCTTGGATGTCTCTTGGCGGGGGACTTTTCTTCTTGAGGACAGCCATCTCAAGTGTTCAGGATTTCCGATGTACAAGAACTTTTTCATTAATATCTATTTCAAATGTTATCCTCCTTAACTTCAGGCCATTTTTCCTTGTCTACATGGAGATTTAGAATGATTTCCTTCTTCCATTATATTTTGTTACTTGAAGGCATTTTTTAATCGGAGTGCATGTTCTTCTCTCTTTCTGAAGCTTCCTTGTTTCAGGCAAAATATGTTAATTCTCTCTAGTCTAACCCTCTGGGCCTTATGTTTTGCCACTTGTCTCTTGCATATTCTCAGCATGGAGATGAAAAAGCAGCACTGTGTTCCAACTGGGGACCCAGGAATGAAAACCAGGCTACATAGAGTTTTCTTCACCCTACCCTGTATCCAGTTTCTAAACTTTTTTTATTATATGAATAAAGATTTGGAAATTTAGAGCTAGATGATATAGTAAATATTATAAAAAGTAGACTATTGATATTTTATGTATGTGTCTAAACCTTCTTATAAAAAACCCCAAATCACTGCCTCTCAGATTTACACTTGCTGTCATTGTAAATCCCTATTTGCCCTGTTACCTCATATAACAGGGACCATAAATGTCTGGCAAGTCTTCTGTTACCCATGGGAGACCCTCCATTTGAACTGCTTTCCTTTACAACTTGCACTTTTATTTACTCTTTTTCAGAGTTGACATGTCTGTTTTTATTGTGATCACATTTTTATTTGATATTTTAGCATTTCATCTTTAATACTGCTTCTTGAGAATATATTTAATACAGATTCATAAAAATTCAAGTAGCATATTGTTAAAGAAGAAAAGTGAAACAAGAAAAAGCAGGTTTTAATAAATTAGTTTAGATTATAAACTGTAAAAGTATGTAGTAAGGCTGGAGTAATTCTTAAATATTATTTAATTATCATTTTCAATGGTTTTCCTGTTCTCTGACATGTGATTTTTAAAATAGCCCAGAAAGATTTTCTTTGTAGACATAGACAATATTTTTCTAAAATTTTATGGAAAGGCAAAAGACCTAGAATAGTTAAAACAAGTTTGAAAACAAAATACAAGAATCAATATACACAATATTAAGGCCCACTATATCTCTACAGTAATCAAAACAATCTGCTAATAGAAGAGGGAGAGACACATATCAATGGGACAGAACAGAGAACCCAGGGATAAGTCTGCACAAATATACCCACCTGATTTTTCCCAAATGTGCAAAAGTAATTCAGTGAAGCAGTTAAACACCCATACACAAAAAAAGTGAACCTCAGTCTAACCCTTACACCTTATACAAAAACAAATTCTAAATGATCATGGACTTGCATGTAATGTATAAAACTACACAACTTTTAGAAAAAAATAAAAACCATAGGGGAAAATATTTGTGACCTAGAGCTAAGCAAAGGTTCTTAGAGTTGACTCCAAACACATGATTCATAAAAGGAAAAATGAACAGATTAGATTTCATCAATAAAAGCTATAAAGTGGGAGGAAATATTTGCAAACTGTATATTCAACCAAGGAGTACCATCTAGAATATATAAAGAACTCTCAAAACTTAACAATCAAAATTCAAACCAATTAGAAAATGAGAAAAGACATGGAGAACCATTTCACCCAAGAGGGTATAAAAATAACAAATAAATACATTAAAAAATGGTCAGCACCATTAGTCATCAAGAAAATGCAGATTAAAACCACAAAAAACTACTACCTATCAAAATGGCTAAAATTAAACATAGTGATAACACTAAATGCTGGTGAGGACACAGAGCAACTGGATGAATTATATATTGCTGGTGGGAATGTAAAATGGTATAGTCTCTCTGGAAAACAGTTTGATAATTTCTTTTAAAAATATGCAAATACCATCTGATGCTAGTGATTGCACTCCTGGGCATTTACTTCAGAGAAATGAAAACTTATGGTCACATACACAGTAGCCTTATTTGTAATAGCCCAAAACTGGAAACAACCCAAATGTCCTTTAACAGATGGAAGGTTAAGCAAATTATGGAATGTCCATGCCACAGAATACTACTCAGCAATAAAAAGGAACAAGCTATTGACACATTTGGCAACCTGAATAAATATCCAGAGAATTATGCTGCGTGAAAAAGCCAATTCCAAAAGGTTATATACCTCATGATTCCATTTATATAACATTCTTGAAGTAACAAAATTAGAGAAATGGAGAATTCATGACTGGTTGCCAAAAGTTAAGGAGGGAGTGTATGGGTAGGAAGTAGACGTGCTTATAAAAGGGCAACAGGAGGGATCCTTGTGGTGATGGGACCTACTGCATTGTGACTGTATCAATGTCAAAATCCTGGTTGTGATGGATTAGAGTTTTGAAAATGTTATCACTCAAGGGAAGGGTGGGAAGTAGGGAAAGGGCACTTAGTAAGTCTGTTATTTCTTACAACTGCCTGTGAATTTACAATGCTCTCAAAGTAAAAGTTTAATTTGAAAAGGCAATTGTGTTCATTAGGAAATTATAAAAATAAATTCAATGAAATGAGAACGAGACTGATGCAAATGTTTCTTTTCTCTTTTCTCTTTTGCTTTTCCCCTTAAGGTTTGCGAGGAGCAATAGCATTTGCCTTGGCTATCCGGGACACAGACTCTCAGCCCAAACAAATGATGTTCACCACCACCCTGCTCCTAGTGTTCTTCACAGTCTGGGTGTTCGGAGGAGGAACGACTCCCATGCTCACCTGGCTGCAGATCAGGTGAGAAGTCCTGTCCTGCTTAACAAAGGAAATCGTTACCAGGCATGGCTTGCACTATTCTATTTCTGGCACTGCTGACCTGGTCAAGAGTACAATGGCAGCAGGTCTATATGCTAACTTTCCCTGGGGCCAAGTTGATTATCTACAAGGTGAAAGAGTATGATCTGTTACCAACTGAACTGACTTTTCCAAGAATCCTAGAAATCTCTTACTGCCAGTCCCTAGAAATGAAATTTTTCTATGAATTCTTCCATCCAACAATATTTATTCAGTACAATGTGATATCTTATGGAGTTTACAAAAATGAGGAAGACACAGTTCTTGTCCTCAAGATTCTCATATTAAGGTTTATACAGAAAAGTTATAATACCAAGGAGAAAATGAATTTGTTTTTAACTTCTCATAGCACTTAGGATAGAATTAGGGACACAGGAAATGTTCAAACACACTTGATTAGTGAGCCATATGTTTAGCTACAGGGATCCTGTAGACACAAGATGACAAACAGAGAAAAAGGGCGTCAAGGAATCAGTCAGGGGGCCCTCCAATAAACAATGCCCGGAAGATGTCGCTGTAAACCTGAAGTATGTATATAGTGGACAATTTGACAAAAATAGGTATCTTATTACAGTCTTGAAAATTGGTAAATCTGTTTTAAAATGTTTCTGTCTTTAAGTATTTTTCTGAAGTAGGTTTTGATTTCCATATCCCAGGATGTAATAGTGCTTTAGGTTAGTCACATTTTATTTCTCAAAGCCATCCATCTTGATGACCATGCACCCCTCCCTGGTCCCTGCCCAAATTCATACCCACATCTGACAGGAAAAGATCCATCTGACTGGAAAATGACTTTCAAGAAGATTCTTTCAGACAAGGACTCTGTTATTGTGCTTAGCACATTGTAAGTCTGGGGAAAGAAAATCCCGGGTCAAAATACCTCTAAAAACCGAATTCAGTCAAAAGGAGAAATAAAGTTTAAAATCCATTTATTGCTTACAAACTGCAGTCCAGGGCCTTCTCTCTTCCCTTCCTGCTCTAGCAGAAGCAAGCTAGCCCCTCCCCTTAAATTTTCAGATTTAGACACACCCTTGGTTGCCCAGGTAATTGATTACCCATTAACGTGGAGATGAACTTCTCTCCACCTCTGAGAAAATGCAAATGAACTCAAGACAGGCGAGATATTCTGAAAATGTTACAATTTTACCTACACATGTAATAGGATTAAATAAATAATTGCCACATGAGAACTTAAATGAATGTAACCACAAATGTAAATTGCTTTTGTTAAAAATTTATGGAAACTTTTTTTTATTCATTTGACAAAGAGGAAGCAGAATCAAGATTCACCAGTTGGCTATAAGAAAGCTTCTGCTTAAATGGGACCAAGTAATTCATGCATTAAACCAAATTCAAGGAAAAGAGAATTTCCAGAGTTCTGTGATATTGCTAAAGACATAAAAGGGCTTTGAATAAAGGTGAATGGAGAGTGTTTTGAAATGCTCAGTGAATTATTTTTCTGGGCATATAAATGTGACCTGAAGTTTCTTTTACAGTGGTGGCTACCTGTAGTCTTCTATGGATGAGCACACACATTGCATTAAACTCTACAGCGCTGGGTTCCCAATGTACTGTAAGACAGTAATGTGCTCAGGTTTCTGGATTAAAATTTACTAGATGGGCTGAGAATGGAAAAATTAAGGCATAGAAAACAAAAATTAGAGGATACCAATCCCCACAAAATAAAAGTATTAAATACCCTATCAGGTAAATCAAAATATTCAGAACATAAAGTAGTGATGTCAACATGGTCTTAAAGTAATTCAAATATTACTTGTTTCCTACTATTGGTTTCCTGACCCTGAAAGAAGCTTTGCCCAAATCAGTACCATGCTTTATCCTAAGGTGTTAACCTACCTCTCCTATAGTGTTTTCCAGAGTCATCCACTGACTTCAAATAGATGCCATAACTAATGTAGTCTCTTGGTGTCCAGAAGAGCAGGGAGAGGAAAATATAATAATGGGGCTTTAGGCAGGTTAGAACGATGATCCAGGTTATAGGACAGGAGCTAAAAAGAAAAGATGGTGATGTCAACCATAGTGTCCACAGACGAGGGGCCTGGAGATCGATTCAGGCTAGCGTTCTTACAGCCTACCAGGAGGCACAGCATGGGGCTGCCAGGTTATAGAAATGCCCCCATAGGAACTGGCTCCCAGTAGTCCAAACGATTCAATGCCAGACTTGTCCACCAGCCAGGACAGGAGAGGGCTAAAGGCAGAGCTGTGATGTATTTAAGGAAAGGAACTGACAAGGTTCCAGTCCAATAGGCAACATGGAAATCCCAACTGCGAACTGAAGTGTTAATCCGAAACCAGCGCAGAAACCCAGCCAGAGAGACCAAAGACTCACCCATGAGGAAATCAGTGGGAGAAAACTGAAGTTCAGAACTATGTGAGTATCCGGGAAGTCAACGCAGGCAGACAGGATGCAGGGCAGCAAGACCAAGACCAGCGGCCCTCAGCTTGAAAGCCCATCAGAACCACCTGGAGGTCTCATTTGCCCCCAGCCTGCCCGGCCTCTGCCTCCGAGTCTCCAACCTGGGAGGTCTGGATCAGAGCCTAAGAATCTGCATTTCTACCACATTCCAAGCAGTGCTGATACTGCTGATTCCAGGACCACACTTTGGGAACCTCTGATTTAGACTTATAATTCCAAGTGGGGCTGGGCTGATTTTAAATACTGCCAGATTTGACTGGGGTTGCCCAGGGCTGGGCACACCGGAGCCTTCAGATCAAACTCCGTAGCACCTACACTGGAGGGAGGCAAGGTCTAACTTGAGGAAGAAGAGTCACTGTGCATTGATTAGTGGCAGAGAAACTGAACATGATAGAACAGACAGAAGAGAACAGGACCATAAATCAGTGTGTGTGCAAATGGCACACAAGCATGACATGAATTTGGTTCAGCCAGGTTATAATGATACCATTATATGCTCCACTTCCTTGTCAATGTTATCAAAGAAATCCTCAGTTCCATTAGAGCCTTTAAATGATACCTGTTCATTTTTTAAGCTATATTTAGCAAGGCTTTGCTTGTTTAAAGCACATCGTCTCAGTAACCAACTTTGATGTCAGGGACTCTTCCCATAAAATACCAGCATATAAGTAAACTGGAGCTTTAGTAAAATGACAGGTATTGAGAAACCCAAGGGGCAGTAATGCAAACATGATATTGAGTGAACTCAAACATCCTCACATGGTATATATATTTATTTATACACTTTACAGTGACTTTCCATCTCGATTTTTTTTTTATTCTATATTTGCCTTTTAAATTATTAGGTATGTCCTTCAGTTGATTTTCATCCCCATAAAATTTGCCATTCAGCCACAAACTACCACAGTAGGATGCAGGTAAATGTTTTAAAAAAGGTAAAAATTGATAGTATGAATATGAATTGCGTTTTGATGGAAATGACTTTAAAACAGCCATGATCCTGTGCTTAGAGAAACTCAGAATGATCTTTACATATGAAACAAATTCTCAATTAAGTCATCATATGCACATTCAAACCTAAAGCTATTTTTTTAAATAATAATAAAATATTTTAATGCAGCACTTGAACTAAATCACAGAATTTTTTCTCAAAATTCTAAAAAAAAAATTCCTCCAGTATTATTTTGGAGGTTTTCATATAAAAAAAGCAGAATGGTTTCTCCATTAGAATCCAGATCTCCTCCCTCCTGTGGAATACATTAATACTGGTGGCGAAGTGGTTAGCAAAACCCAACCTCCATTCTTCAAGGACTATCTCTGCAGCTAGCCAGGAACAAGAACAAAGGTGTCAGGCTTTGCCCTGCAGAAGCCAGTGAACAGGAGTATCCACCAAATGATATACATGCTTACAACTCTTTAAACCTCAGAGACCAACAGGGCAGAACTCTCTGGCAAGGTAATTACCTGGGGTTCGTTACCCAATCCTAGATTTAGGGTAGGGTGCCTCATGGAGCTAACAAAGAGCATGAGAATGGAGCCATACCGCAGTGCAAACCTTTCCTGGAATCCCCCACATAGGAGTGCTGGTTCCATTTCTTCTGGCCACAGTGCAGAAAGCCTTGCACAACAGAGCGATACAGAAGTGTATTCCAACGGCATTAGAAAGAGCCCTCAGGAAGTGATTCCTACAGCCTCCAGTTTTGGCCTTTAGCATCTCAATCAGTAATAGCCAGATTTGCAAGGCACATCACCTCCCTGTGACTCACCTTCTGAGTGGGGTGAGCTACTTCCTAGAGTGGCCAAGGCCTGGCAAAGGGGCCCAAGATCACAGTACTGTCACGCTGTAGAGCTAGACCCCCACACAAGCAGCCTAAGCCCCAGGGCCTATAGGACCAACTAGTGCATTCTTCTACTACCCTAAGTAAACGAATTTATTCCTGATGCCTGCATTCTACCTAGATTAACAAATCCTCTGGGAAAAAGACATGTATTTTTATAACCAAGGCAGGCCTGTTAAAAATAAACACAGGAAATCTTCATCCATCATGAGTGACTGGGTTGACTTGTTCATGCAGCACAGAAATTTTGCAGTGCAGGTTTTCTCTTTGACCTAGAAAGTTAAAGGTAAACAAGTCCAGCCCTGATCCAAAGTAGCCAAGCAGGGAATTCTGTCTTCCTCAATTCCAGGAACTTGGAGAGTTACAGGAATTTGTCAACATTGTGTCATCTCCCACCCCCATTCAAGATTCCACGTCAGCCTTCTGTCAGCCTCCACCACATATCAAACAAAAAATTTCACACATTGTCCTGTTTCCATTGAAGAGTGAATGGAGATAGTGCAATATCTCCACCATCATTATTTTAACTACAAATTTAAATGCTATTTTTGGCTTATGATCCATCCCCATTTTGTGCCATCCTAGAATGCTTCATTGTTTGTACCCACTGACTACAATGCTTTTAAAAACAGCCATCATAGAAATGCACACAGATAGAGAACTGTCCT